GAAGAATGTATTAGTACACATCATTTTGATGTATGTAACACAGATAAATTCTGTTATTATATTTTTTATTCTATTTATACATATTCTTTTTAGAATTTAAATTCGTTAATATGGCAATCTATGCGGTTTAAACCACCTCCAGCATCTCCTAGTCTTGATATGGGATGGAGAGTTGAATTTCGACCAATGGATGTTAGTATAATCGATAATAGTACATGAAATCATCTTCTTTTCACCTCATTTAAGGATGCCTCTCCTCTTCTTTTTTCAAGAATCTTGTTGCCAAATGCGGAACACACGTTCGATCCAGATCCAATTTATAGCAGAGATAGAAGAGCTAAAAAAAGAAAATCGATATATTTTTGCTCAGAATTTTGTGACATGATCTTCTATGGATTATCATCCAGTCACATTATGATCCATCGAAAAAAATGGTCCGATCGACTCGAAATTTTCACCGTAGATGCTCTAGACCCTATCTCAGGTTGTAAAATTTTTTTCTCGAAAAATATGCTTTCCTTCTCGAGATATACGAAAACTGACTTTTTTAAATGATTTTCAGCATTTTTCGTATGTCTCTAAAAGAAAGCCATGCGTTTCGAAAAAAAAACCAGTAAGAACCTGAGATAGGGTCTAAAGTATCTGTGGTGAAAATTTCGAGTCGATCGGACCATTTTTTTCAATGGGTCATGATCACATCAATCTTCTTTTTTGCTCTTCTATCTCTAGTATAAATTGGAGCTGGTTCGAACATGTGCTCCGCATTTGGCAACAAGGTGAAAAAAATGAGAGGGGTACCCTTAATGCTTACTCATAAAATAATCCATGTGAGGAGAACGCGTCACAGTTTCTCCGTAATAGTCGGCAATAATCACTATCCAAAAAAACCTAACCAGTTTTTCTTTAATAACAGCGCTAGAATGATAACAGATACTATTCCCACTTTCATCAAGAAAAAATGCATCTTCTCATTGAAAATCTTGTTTTTGAAACAAAAATTTCTGAAAAAAATCTCTTTTTTGATTCAGTATTTTGTTCTAAAAACATATCTTTTTTCAATGATAGATAGTGATACTTAATCCCAACTCGAAATGGATCGGTATTAAATGTTCTCTTAATACACAAAGTGGATCACGTACAAATAAATGTGCAATATGTTTTGATAATGCTGAATCAACTCCTATAAACTATAAAAATGTGTAATTTCTGTATATTTTATATAAGAAATTTATTTTACCATTTGTAATAAGTTTTGTATAAATATTTTCATCAAAAACTAAATTGATATCGTTATATTTTGAATGTTCATCACATAGATAACAATCAACAGATGAATAACGTGATTTTGGTATTACATAACGATCATTTATTAATGGCTATAATAAAAAATTAAAAGAAAAAAAAATCACATAAATCTTGACTGTAAGAAAAAAATAGAAGACATACTTTTAATCCTAATTCTTCTGGTGTTCGATCATCAGCTACTTGTGATAGTATATTCCAACGACAATCAATTTCCGATAAATAACCACGCCATATTGGACATGCTGCACTTAATGCAACCTGTAAAAAATAATAAAAATAATTTCTTAAAAGAAATTAAATTATATTGTAGATTATGATACACAAACCATAATTGATGTCATTGGTACTAATTGATCATAGAGAAATTTTGCTTCATTTAAATCTCTAGCTTGAAATGTCACTTGTAAACAACAACATCCCCAACCTGAATAAGGTGAATCTAAATGTATATGATTATCAATTAATTCAATATGATGTTCATTTATATTTATATTGTATTGTGATGCTAAATCATCACGAAAGGGTTGTACAGTGTTTTTATCAATATAAACTATAATAAAAACAAGAAAAAAGAATCGATTAAAATTAGTTCATTTTTCTATAGTTATTTATCAGTGATTCAGAGATTAGTCTCATTCAGTGGTTGTAACTCGTACTTTTTGAAGTATAGTCAATAACATTGGAACACATGATCAGTAGCACCGTAGAAAGTGGGTGAATAAGAAAATCTGAAATATAACTTCAAGCCCTGAAGTTATAAATTCGATTTCTATATAACATAATCAGTGGTTATGCTATGTAGAAAACGATCACGATTCAAAAATAGTAGACCATCGCTTGCAGTATAAGACAAAGATAAAGTATTAAATTGTATAGAATACAAACTTGGAACATTAATGGCTAATTTTGTTCCACGTCTTTGAAACATATTTTCATCACATGATCTAATAAAGAGAAATTATTTTAACAAGTAAAATGATATGATCGTGTAAAGATGAACTATTTTTTGCTATTTTTGTTTTTTTTAAAAAGTTTTGTCCGTTTTTAACAAATTGTCACGTCTTTTCTTATTCCATTTAATTAAAGAGCGATTAAACTGTAAACAAATATTGCATCTTGCATAGTTTCAACTTTTTCTAACAACTGCAGTATATGCTAGAAGCAAGTTTTAAATTGAATGTAGTTTTGAAAAAAATAACCCGAGCAACGTCTCATCTGTAGAAAAATGTTTATCCTACATGACTGTACATATTGGTGAAACTTTATTCTCAACGCAGCAAAAATGCATCTATCATCAATTAGTATAATTCAGTTACACATATTGTCAAATTTTGCAAAATGTTTTCAGAATTTTGTCAACTAAAGTGAAATTTTGTGAAATATAACAAAATTCAGGTAGGATTTGGCAAAATTCTGCGAAATCTGTGAGAATGATGAGTGGTGAGAATATTCTTGCATAATTCTGTTACATTTCACAAAATTCTGCTTTAAGTCCCTCCCCCTCAGGACCCCTGGAACATTTCCGTATAATTCACCTACACATATGGTTAAATTTTACCCCCTCCTTCCTCAGAAATGATGATCCTCGGACAAAAAATTCTGAGATAACCATATGAAAAGACAGCCTGAAGTGTCTGCTTTCAGAATTTATATCGCGCTTTCGGTTACAGAAGTGACTTTTCGCGGCTTTCGAGAGAGTTTTCTAGGAGCTTCGAAAAAACGGGATCTTCATTCACCTGAAACATTTCTCAAGATTTTTTAATATACTTCAAGCTAGAGAGTTCGGGTTTGTTTTATTTTAAACTAGACGCCTAACTACATGGTCTGACCGGCGCCGATTTTTCAATTAGATCTTAGTTTTTTGTCAAGTTAATGATTTCTAGAAAATCAGGAAGCGTTTTTTTGGATTTTTGAGATTGTTGGTTGTCTACAAAATGAGCAAAGATCTAATTGAAAAATTGGCACCGATCAGCCCATGTAGCTAGATGTCTAGTTTAAAATAAAACAAACTCAAACTCTCTAGCTTGAAGTATATTAAAATGTTTTGGGAAATACTTCGGGTCCTTTTTCGACCTTGATCTCTGAAAAACTCCTAAACCGTAAGACTTGGAGACAAAAAAAACATTTTCAATCCCATAACTCATTGTGCCTGATATTTATGGAAAGTTTCGTCAAGATCGGATGTACGGTGTCCGAGATAATTTCTGACGTGAGGAGAGGGCCCTTAATTGATAAAATTCTGATAGGATTTGATAAAATTCTATGAGATATGTTGCTGAATTGTACTAATCGATCGAAGATGAGTCTGTACTTTTTGGAATAGTGTTTAGTTTTATTGTGGTGACTTTTTTTTGTGAAAAAGAGGGCAAAAAAGTTCATTGTTAGATCTGCCGTATAATACTGATAAACAAAAAGAAATTAGAATACTTGTATCGTGGATGCATAGGCGATATCACTTCATTTGGCATATATATGGAAAGACCAATATTATCCAATGGATTAGATACGATTTCGGGATATGTAAATTTTGGTGAACCCATTCTATATAAATAAAGAGAGTACAGATAAAAAGAGAGATATTAGTTATATAAAATATTTACCTTGGAAACGCGCATATATTTAATATATATTCATTCTCTTCAAGAAGTGATTGTACTTGAGATCGTCTAAATTCAAAATAGATAAACATATATATGTAGTCGTGCATTCTTTTATAATTGAAACTATTTTTATTTTATTGCTTGCTACTTACAAGGGAACTTTCCCAAGTGTTCAATCGCTTTTTCCTTAAAACATATAGGCTTGTGGGTAATCTTTGATGCTGACCACGAATCTGATATCCGTTTCTGTTGCTAGGCCTTTCTGGGATGGGCCTCTGGAATCCGGGTGTCCAAAGACCCACTATGAACTTCCAACTGAACATATTTTGACACGATCAGATTGTAGAGCGCGTTGAATTACCTATATCGGAAAACGTTCAGATTCCTGTGATTTCTGCGCAAACTGTTAAACCAAATTATTTCTCAAAAAATGGGTCAAAATCTGCTAGCGAAATCTTCCATAGCAGCGATAAATGATCAACTTAGAATAGTTCAACCAGTTCGAGCAGGAATCGCATGAAGCTGTGAAAGATCTCATTTTGTGCAGAAAAGCGTGTTTAACAAAACTAGCATACGTCTAAAATTTTTAGATTTTATTTTTAGATCAAAATTATAAAATTACTGAAACTGTTGAAGGAAGAAAACTTTAAAAGGCAAATTCGAGATTAGACCAGAACCCTCCAGGTTAAACCTAACCTAATCTAACCTATAGGTTAGATTGTAGGTTGTGTTTTAATTTGTTCGACTTCTTTCTACTTTTGCAGAAGAGAAATTTTTTTCTGATTTTGAGGCATCCACGTCCTAATTATTTGAAAGGCCAAAAACTCAATAATATGTATATTTAGTTTTGTCAAATATGCGTGTAACGTTCTATGAGTTGAAAACAAAAAAACACTATATAGGATAAAGTAGGTTAGGATTAATTATGAATTCTTTTATAGGTCAGGTTATAGGTTTTCATGAATGGAACATGAATGGAACTCTAGGAAATTATACAAAATGTAGAGCAGAAAATTCTCTATCGAACAATGTGCTTTTCAGTTTTTTCTAACAAAAAAAAATTGAACATGAGGAAATGCGAAACAAAGAAAAAGGTTTAAACGTTTGTCACACACTTTTAATCACCATTGCGTTTCCTCAAGTGTAAAAAGCTTCTAGTTACATTGTGGTTTCTAATCTGTCAAAATTTCTTATTCCTATTTCTAACACCGTAACTCTTATAATAGTTCCATATCTCTACATTTCAGAAAACCTTTATAAAAAAGGATCACAGTCTATATTGTATTTTTTACCATTTATAACAAGAAAAACTCAATCTTACCATTAATTATAATTAACCTGAACTAACTACAAGATCTACTATCACTTTTTCTCTAAGAAATCTGACTACTCCTGCCCTCATATGTGGTGTCGTTTATTGATGTTAATGTTTTTCATACATGAATATTTTTAATATAGAAAGTTACAGATTCGAGTCGACGTCAATATTGAACGTATCTCTTAGAATCGTATTAGTTAATAGTATTTCCGTCTTTTTTTTTCTTTTTTTTTTCGCTTTTCCTACACATTCTGCTTAATTTTATGACATATTTAGATAGAACTTCAATATAAACTCTGTATAGTATACGAATACTTTTATGCTAAAACAAAATCAGTTTGGTGTAAGTCAACATTAATTCTAGAGTGAAATTCTATTAAGGGAACAAACATTTTGGGTGAAAGTTAGATAAAACAAGTTACAATTCTAAATTGAAGTTTGTTTTAATAGTAGATCACAAAAAGATTCTATTATTTTCTCGGTGTAAACTCAAATGTCAGGAATGTAATTAGAATACATGAGATCAACAGTGTAAGATTCTAAAACTTGTTGGTCGCCAAACAAAAAAAAAAAAACTAGTGAGAAAAGAAGAAATTTTTTGTCTGTTCTCCTCTCACCTACAAAAAAAACAAAGTGATGATAAATAATAATAGTTGTTATTCGGAAAATAGACTTATTTCCAACATAACAAAAAAAAAACTAATCATCTTAGCACGATCAACAATAAAAATCTTTTTCCTTGATTTTCAGAAAGTCTGCGTGTATCTCTCACATTTCAGATACAAGTCCCAAACACATGAATATACATCTTGACATTTCCAAATGTAGTTTTAATAGAGTATAGAGTTAATTTAGTAGAAAAATATTTGAAAATAAATATAGCTAACCTTAATTTCATGTTTGCTTCAACTGTATTAAAATGTATGGGTAAATAACCATAGGGTTTATTTGGTACACCTTCAAGAACAAAATCACATCCTTCAGGATGCCATGTTACACGATATTCACTAAGAAAAGACAACGATAATAAAATAAAGATAATAGAATAAATCGATAAATCTATCTATCTATCTATATACTTTTTATAATAATTTTGATTTTGTTCATTTAATATTGGTAATAAATCATGTGCTTTTAATGATACTTGTACACGTTTTTTTTCATGATCAAATCGAACAAGAGTAAATTCCACCTATATATTTATTAGAGTCAATTATTTTGTTATGAATTAAAATAATAATAAAACTTTTTTTTTACCTCTTCACCCCATGTAAAACAATCATTTTGTCTACCTTTGAATCTATTATATAAATAAATAAATTGATCAATTCCAATTTGACGTATATAATCACGTTTTGATATTATTTCATCCCATGTTAATGCTTGACCTTCCGTTAACAAACCCATGATTAATTTTTTTTACTATAAGTACAAATAATAATATTACAGACATAAGGAATATATCGTTCTAGCCATAAGTGCACGATATGGGTAATTCATCACTGTGTTTTCTTCCTTTTTTTTTTTTTTTTACTATAAATTCCTTCTTACTTGATTGATGTGACAGGAAAAAAAAGTTTATTTTCTTATCTATGGTTTAATACGTTCGTTATTTTCTTATTCTATTTTTATCTTGTACTACTACTACTATACGTAGTTGTATATTTTGTTGAAAAACAGAACTAATCAAAATATTAATAATATTAAAAGAACGGGTATTTAATATTTGATGTTTTTATATGATAAATATTAAATAAAGTAAAATGAAACAAATTTGTTTATCCTCCTTTTTTCACTATGTTACTATATACTTTTTAGTTTTTTTCATCATCACATATACCACACATTCGATGTATGTAAATCTGTATAACGAGAAAAAGAATGAGTCTATTTTCTGACCGTCGAACGACGTAGCTAACAGCAAAGAAAAAAAAAAAGAAGAAGATAAAAAGAACAATGATAGAGCAAAGTCTATCTCTAATGTTGTATGATCAATCGTATACCGAGCCTAAAAAAGCAATCGCTCTCTTCTAATTTTTTTTTTTCATTCATTCTTTCTTTCTTTCTTTCTTTCTCTTTCTCTTTCTCTTTCTCTTCTCTTTCTCTCTCTCTTCCGTTTCTCTCTATCTTCTCTCTCCTCCCTCTCTCTCTCACATACTCCATTAGATAGACGGTAAAACATCAATATCTTTCTACTCACAATTGTTGTCTGTCATTCTCTTTCTCTATCATCCTTCGTGTACTAAAAGTGCAATATTGTACAATTATACGTGATCATTTACTATGAAATCAGTGTGGAATTGAATAGAAAGCAAAGAAGAAAAAAAAACGGATGTTAAGAAAAGATTGGAAATACTGTTGATAAGCATGTTGTTTAGACGAGTGAGTGAGTACTAACTGGATCTTATCGGATCTAATTCTATGTCCATGATCAATACTTTGACCTTGAGGAATAGTAATTTAAACGAAATTGTATTGACAAAAAATTGTATGCTGACTGATACGTGTTCATTTTTGAATAAGTACGATGATAACAATCTCTAGTCTTTGTAAACATCTTCAATCTACGATAGGAAAAGGAAATGAACTTGAAGAAGAAAGAATAACTACTTTCATTATTTAGAAAATCTTAAAACGTTCCTATTTACTGATCTTACACAAAAGATTGAATCCATTCATATGATTGTCATATTCGAAGATAAATAAGATTGTCTAGTGAATAATGTTTTCTTCAATAAAATGAAAACTTGTCAGTTTTCAGAGACATTCTTGACATATATAAATAATCAATTTGAGTCAGGAGATCAACGTAGTAATCTTTGATTAGAACGTTGTAAGATAGTATACAACTGTCATATCTAACCCTACAACGAATGATGTTTGATATGGTATATTTGAATGAATATATAACCATAATATCATATTGAATTAGATTCAGAGCGGAAAAAGTATTGATAGGTGCGTGGTTGAATCAAATATGTATCCACACAACATTGATGATCTTCCATCCTACTAAAGTAAAAGTGTCTTGCTATGAATTGAGTTGTAAAGTCATTAATTGCACTACAGCAACTCGCTTATCAATCGTAATATTAAATACTCTTGATGCAATCCTGGATCATTATCTACTAAACTCGACTTCCTCACAGCCATGATATATATCTACAGCAAATATAGTCTACAACCACGATCATTCAAATTTTTTCGGAATTCTCCGCATTATCTCTCATTTTGGAAAATAGTCATTTCGTACACGATAAAAGCGAAAATCTATGTTAGATAACGTCTTCTATACCCTTCCTTTTTTAGTCTAGACAAAGGGGTAAGAGGTCGGTAAATGTTTTAACGAAGATTTATTTATTCATTGTAGTCTTACTGAGACATATTGTCGGAGGTTTAACATATGCATCAGGGAAAACTGTAGGAATTATGATAGCATTGAAATCACTAAGTGCAGTATATACTCTCCATTGCGTTAACGTCACTTTCGAACAATATTAAACTCATACAAGACTAATGGATATCATCTTTCTGAGTAGTATTAATGTGTTAGTGGGTGCAGAAATGAAAACTTAACACTTTGATTAAAAGAAAATATGTATGATGATAAAACTGTCGTAGTAGAAATTATCGACTGTGCGGAATCTAGATATTTTGTTCTTTGCTCTTTTTTTATTTTGGCAGTTTCAGTTGGATATGTTACATTAACATAAAAATACAGCAATAACAAAGTTCTTTTTTAAATATAAGAAAACAAACACTTTCAGAGACGAATGACAAGTACCAGCTGCTGCGGAAGGAAAAAAAAAGTGTTAAATACTTAAAATTTTCCATCTTAACTATGAACGATGTGTCAGATGTGAAGATGGTGTCATAAACGAGTTTTATAGAGGGAGCAGATACGACAATCTTAGTTAAGGTTAAATTCCAGTCCCGAGCAGTTTTAACATAAAAAGCTACTGAAAATAGTTCCAGTGCGTGCGAAGGGTATCTCGACCTAAGTGGATTGGAGGTTGCTATGATTCGATCGTATTTAATGAGGTTTAAGTACGAAAGAGAAGAGAATCCTTTCAATATTTTAAAGAATTTGGACTAGCCGAAAATATTTATGTCTTAATATAAGAGTAGAACGGTTTAATTTTTTGGTCAAATCCTCTTCTGCACTTACAGAATCCCGTGTTATCATATGAGCTGCCGATCACTAAACACCCTCAAATCACTATCATATATGACACATGCGTAATCGAGCTTGGTTATGATACAGCTTTTATCTAGCTGAAGAGTAGCAGGTGCCGCTTTAAATTGTCTGTGCATAGCTCCAAGATGCTGTCTGCACGTTTTCACGAGATCTGCAACATGTTGTACCCACCTTAAGTTATAACTAACTTGAAGCCCTAACAGTGTTAGATGATCAGTACGAGTGATAGATAAACCTTGATTCAGCGTAAAATGCGTTATTTGTTACAAAAACTAGAATGTAGATCCAGCGATATAAAATGATTATATTACAATTTTGAAGATCATCAAATAACAAACAATCTTATCGCGTTACTAATGATGGTTTCTATCAAAGCGATAAATAAAAAATGTCTTTGTTTATTAGTAAAAATATTTGTATACATCAACACAACAATATTCACAGTGCAACAAATGCACGAAGAACATTAAAAGCAGTCATATATTTAGATTATTAACTACAACACAGCATTATAACCCAATCGATGCTGTGACTTTTAAGTGGAATATGGAGCAGAGACGACTTATGTTCAAGACAAATGTTTGCTTAACATTTTCGACTTACAGAATTGAAGCATATCGCCAATTGTTTGGATGATAAAAAAGTTTTCAAAAATTAGATTTAGAAAACTTTATAGTTTCTTTATAAGGTTTATAGAAAACAGTCAGTTTGTTGTACATATGGTTATCTATTATTCTCTTTCTTCTTTTCTTTAAAATGTATGGGAAGCACATATGCCATATCTGTCTCTTTTTTTTCTTCTATACATTCGGATTTAGCTGATAAACGGTGTGATGGCAGCATTCATTTTCAGCATTCATTACATTCCATTTTCATTGGAAAAGACGTCGATTTTCAGATGAGGAAGTCGATGAAATTTCGTCAAACTCTGAATCGAGATCTGAAGTTGAAACAGATTCAACTGACTACAGCAGTGACTCTGATAATGTATAAATCTGTAAAACTGGATCAAAAATAAATAGTTATAGTAATTTTCTAAACAGCTTTTTTCTCTCGCTTATGTGGGTAGCCAAAGGGTTAAGAAATACAAGTTTTACTTCAATCATGAAAATGAATGTAGTTTTGAACACACAATACCGACCATTAAGATCTTGAGAATTTCTGTGTACGAATATAGTCGATGTATATTCGTTGGAGATAAATTCAATAATTGTTCATGTATATGCTCATCGTACTGAATGAATTTTTAGACTCAATAATAGAATAAGATGCAAGACCTGTTGTCGAGATTTTTCAGCCTTTTGAGCTAACTTAAGGGTACACCCATCTTTTTTGTAAAAATTTCGATTTTAAGCTGAGCATAGCCTGATGTATAAGAAAGTGCGGGCTACAAAATAAGATCACTCCTCGTACTCCACGACCTTTTTTTGAAAAAGTTATGGATTTTTGGAGTTTTTCCTTCAAAACCTAAAAAAAACTCAATTTTTTAGTTTGATAAACTTTTCTCTCATTTTCTGTACATGCAAAATTTTTCTTACACATAGTCTGATAGAAGAAAGTGTTTTCTTCACAATAAGACATTTTACAGAATTTTCCGATAAGTTTTCATGGAGATATAAGCATCGCGACAAATGCTCTGAAAAACGTGACCTGTGTATAAAATGCGTTTTTTCTCGAAAACTGTTTTTTGATACCAAGCGTCATTGTGCCACGAACGACCTCCCTTAAACTTCATCCAATCGAGTTCAAAATTTTACCAGAGGTACTCAAGACACTATTGCAGAGGTAATGTTTTGGAATTTTATTTTAGACTGTTTTAAAAATTTGATTTTTAAGACGGTTTTCAGTATTTTGCTTATAACCCGACCAGGAAAGGTTTCAGAAAAATTTCTCAAAAGTTACCTCTGCGGAATGACCTTGAGTACCTCTAGTAAAATTTCTAACTCGATCGGATGAAATTTAAGGGAGGTCGTAATGTGGCACAATGAAAAAGCCAGTTTTCTGAAAAACTGGTAAACGGCAATAATTGAAAACTTGAAACAAAAACGAAAAAGTGCTCCATTGAGTTTCCAATCAATTCTGAATATAAGAAGCCCTAGCGACTTTTAGTTTTTATTTCACAGCATTTCTACGGAAAGCCCAAAAAGAGGGGAAAAAAATTCATAACTTTTCTCAAAAAATTTTAAAAGGTTTTTAACTCTGTTGCAAA